TACTAGGGTATAAAATATAAATATAATATGATTTGGGTTTTCAATAAAAGCTTAATCTTAAATCTTAATTGCAAAATGATAAAGTATGTATAATATACAGCATACGGTAGATATTATACTAAACTATAATAAAATTACAGTAGATAAAATATTTAAGGTAGATAGCATATTGGACAAGTACCAAGAATATAAAGTGTTCTAAAATGTCTTCCAATATTATTCCTGCTTAAACAAATTAAAAATATGTTGGAAAAATGATTTTTTTATCAGATAATGTATGTAATAATAAATAATAATATATTATTTAATTTAATTTTAAATTAAACAATTGAACATGATAATTCTGCATATTCCTTTGTGACACCCTACAATCAATGACGGAATGTCATATTCAGATGTACAGAAGAACTAAATTTTACAAGGCCGCAGGATGATCTCTCACTAGATAGAGTATAGAAGTATAGATTAGTGATAATTTGTGTTATACAGGAAGGATTTAGCATTTTTTTAGTAAGTTAAATTTTTATACTTAATCAACTATATCTTATAAATTTTATCAATGTTATAAAATCTTGATTATAATTTTAACACTTAACACAACATTTTATAACTTTATAATTAATTTAAAAAATAAATACAGTGAAATATCTCCTAATGGACAACTCTAAATAGAGAATGGTATTTTTGAACAAACTATAATTTTCTATAAATTAAATCATCTAAAATCTAAATACAGTAGAACTCCGATTATCCGAATGCTAATCATCTGGATGTTCAATTAACCGGACAAGATATTTTTCAAAATAAAATAATAATGTGCCAAGTCGGCTTATTTTTGGTTTTAAAATATGTCACATATTATAATTAAGGCTTATTTTGTTTCAGTTAAATATATAATACAATTATTTGTTTAAGGTTACGAATTTTAAATTATATTACATATATATTAATAATAAATACAATAAATACATATAATTATATAACTATTGATATATCATATGTTAATCATCCGGATATTTGCTTATCCAGACCATCCTTGACATTAATTAGTCCGGATAATCAGAGTTCTACTGTAGTTGATAAAATGTCAAGGACTTACTATAAAAGTATCTTTTATTTAAAAGTTCTACTGTA